GACATGCCGCCCTCTCTCCCCAGCAGGGATGTGCTCACCAATCCCTGAAGCCGCAGAGAGTCTGCTCCAAGGACCAGTATCCCCTGGTCATTGTGACCTCAGTGAATGTCCGTGCACAGTGAGTGACCTTATGTACCCCAGAACGAAGCACCCCCAGGCCTGCGCCATCTCCACAATGGCTGGTATGTGTGTTGTAGCCGCTGGGTCAGTCCATCTCTACAGGTCCCCCCCTCTCTCACTGACCGTCTCCCAAGCATGATGCACGAGACAAAGTCTCCCCGGCCTCTCCTCTAAGGAGTACTCTGGTGCACTTGCTCCCAGGCGGCCTTGTTCCGGCAGTCCATGGCACAGTCAGTATCCTTTGACAACACCACAGTTTAAAGACATCCGCCCTTCCTCTGTCGTCCTTGTTCATTGTCCAGCTTTCACATGGGGACCAGTGCAAAGGCCATGATTTGGGTCAACGCATCTGAGTCCTCAAATTGACATCTTCGCTTTTTAACTTTAAAGAGGTCTTTTACGCCAGATTTGCCCAATGTAGTAGGTTCTTTGATTTCTGGTCTGCCATGAGCATCAAATGTCAATTCAAGTCAAATGAAATACTAAGCGTGACATCCTTCTCTAGATATTGTTCCCTCTTCATAACGTGTTCACAGGAAGTGAGGTGGAGTCTTGCTATTCTAGATTCTTCCATTGTTTTTTAAAAAATAATTACGTTGCACAATTTATTGGCTCCGATTCTTCCACTGGTAACACAGGAGCCATCCGATCCGATCAGTGAATGCAGGTGCATGGTATCCGGGGGCCGTCCCTGCCAGAGGCCTGAGACCAGGGTTGGCCTCCAGTTCCCTGGTTATTTACATTTGTTTAAGCTTGGCCTGACCTTTTTAGAAACACAAAGAACATCTTAACTGCTCAGACTGTTTTCAAAATGCCAGAGTAGAAAGATCCAAACTAAGTGTTTTGCCCCACAGACCTGCAAGGTCTCCTCTCTGCACCCCGTGTGCACCATATTGTCCAGACGCCTCCACAGTGAGGTTGTGGGGTCACTGAGCAGCCCTGCACTGACAGGGACCATGGAAGAAAAGCAGGTTCCTCTCCTGTCTCAGGTCTCAGGGGAGGCTCAGCCAGGACTCTCTTCCCCTGCAGCGTTCTTGTATGGAATCAGTGCGGGGTGTGACAGCCGCCTCGAGGTGACCTCCAGGGGAGTGGTCTTCACCACCATTTTAAAGATGAGGAGTTGAGGTCACTGATGGGCCCTCAGCACACCGAGGGACTAGCTCCTCACAGTGCAACTTCGAGCACTGCTGACCAGAGGTGGGGGCAGCTCAGTAAGGTTGTGGCCAGAAAATGAGAGGAGGAGGGAAGGAGAGTGAGCGGCTGGTGCTGTTGTTGTAAACAATGACTTAAAATGATGATTTTACAAAATAACTGAAAAATCAAACAGCTTGGCAGAAGAAAACATTGATAGATTAGAAAGTAAGAAAGGATGCACACCCATGTTTATCGTGGCTTTGTTCACAATAGCAGAGTTGGAAACAACCCAGGTGCCCATCAACAAATGAATGAATAGAGAAGCTGTGGTATATTCACACAATGGAATACTATGCTGCATTGAAAAACAAGGAACTCATGCAATATTATTCAAAATGGGTGAGCCTGGAGGACATTATGCTGAGTGAAGTATCTCAGTCACAAAGGACAAATACTGCATGGTGCCACTGCTGTAAAATGGGACTGATATCAGGGTTGGGATAAGACTGAGAAAAACTGGATAAATTGTGTATACTGCACTGAAACAGATGAGGCAGAGAATAATTTAAAAGCAATGTATGATAGGGTATTATGGTTATCAGAAGAGTCCACAATGAAGGTTGCATAGTGGAATGTACTTGGGGTGGTGGGAGGGGTGCAGGGGGATTGTGTACCAGGGAGGGAGTGTTTCTTTTACTTTTAAAAGAGAGGAGCGAACTGGGGAAGGGGGGAAGGGCTGGGCGGGGAGAGAAATGCAGCAATGAATGAACGGAAATCCAAAAATCTCTGTAAATGTTCATTAAAATTATATAAAAAAAGAAAGGTATAGAGTTATTGGAGAATAGGAAGATCCCGCAGGATTACAACAAGCAAGGCCTGGGAGGGAGGCAAGCGTGTCTTTCCAGGTAACAAAGGCTCAGAACTTCTCACCAGCAGCTTCTCACATGTTTTCCAGGAGTCAAGTGGGGGGTGGTGATGTTTGCACAGCAACTCTCCTTCCTCTTCTGCTTGAACACACAACTTCAAGGTGGAACCAGGGAGTCTGGGAGGTGGTGCCAGGATTTTCTATATACTGTCGATGTGTGTGTGTGTGTGTGTGTGTGTCGGTAGCTCTGGCCTCAGGTTCGGTTCGAATCCATCTCCTTTCTTTGAATCACCACCTTAATTCACTGCCCGGTCAGGTAACTCTTTGCTGTGTGTGTGTGTGTGTGTGTGTGTGTTTCAGTCTTGTTTGTCTTCTGGAAATCCAGACACCCCGAATGTGTTTAAGACAATACCCTCTGACACCAGGCCCTTGCTGTTTCTTGTAACTTTGTTTTAGCAAACACTTAGCTAGATGCATGGTGGTAAGGGTATAAAAGCTACAATGTGCGTCAGCAGATTCACTTGACTTCTTTTAAATTAGATTTTCTTTGAGTGAGTTTATAAATATCATTTGTTTTTTCAGACATTTATAGGCAATAATTACCATTAATTGATACAATGAACTTATTGCAATGCCTAAGCAAACTCTTCTTGTATATTTCTTTTTTTACATTGTACCTTATAAAATTAATCGCCACTGATCTATGCCTGACACTAAGCTCTTTTCAGATCCCCACTGGATCCTTCCTACTTCTTTCACCCCCTCTGCCCCCACCAATCTCTGCCATGACAGTGAGTTCCTCCCCTCCTTGTCCCTGATTTCTTTCTTTTTTTGTTAATTCCTTAGATTGTGTAAACTAGTTCTTTTAACATTTCTCTTATAACTTTCCTAACAACAACAGTTCACTAGAGTGGCAGTCTCAGGTACACAATCCCTGGGAAACAGGTAGACGGTGCCACGTGGAGGCCAGGTTGTGAAGGGGGTAGCAAAGTTGAAGGACCCAAATGAGGAACAGAGGGGACACCCCAGCTCCCTCCCACCGGCCACTCGGATTTCCTTCATTCACACCATAAACACGGGCAGCTGCTGTGGCTCCAGGTCTGGGAGCAGGACACAGGGGATAAACCAAGCACCCTCCTCTGGTGCCTATTGGTGCTCTGCTTCCAATGGGCACCTCCCTCAGTGGGTCCAGACAGTGGGAGGAACCCTAGAAAACAAGGACGGGTATCTGGGGGTGTGAGGGGCGGGAAGGATTCTGGGAGGAAGTAGCCCTGGAGTCGGGTGTTGGAGAAAAACGCTGGTGGCTCACTGGTCAGGAACTGTGCCCGCGCATGGGACAAAGACCTGCGATCTCCCCTCGTGGGAATGACTGCTTCTGAAAACCTGCTGGTGGGCCAGCTAGGTGGGTTCTCGCTCCACAGCACAGAACAACATTCCCAGCCCACAAAGCCTGCTCACAGCTAAGGACGTACTCTCGTACACCGTCTCGTTGGACTGACTCATAGCTGAGTGTCCGGAGGGTTTTCAGAGGCAGTAAATCCCCTGGAAGGAGATTTGTTCATCTTATTTCTCCCGCAGAGGGGCTGGTGGATTCGAACCATGCACCACTGCGTTGGCAGTGCAATCTATTCCTTACTAGAAGACCTTGCTCTCATAAGGCCGGATGGGACGTGTCGGAGGTCATGCACCTTGAGAAGGCAAAGAACTGACCACTGCTTCACGGGCAGACAAACGTGCTAATTCCTCTGTCTTGGAGGCAGGACCCCCAACGTCGTGCTAATCGCCTTCCAGGAGAGGGAGTGTGGGGGTTTAGGAGAGCAGCTCCCAGGTGCGGAGCGGCGGGGAGGTGGAGAAACGTCCTTGATTTGCATACTTCTCGGAAAGACAAAGAAAGGTCCCACCCCGCGTTCTGAAAGGACAGGGCGCCACGGCCTCTTCAATACCTACTGGCCCTGAAGGGAGCTCTGGTGGCCTGCAGGTAAGGAGCTGCGCTGCCACTTCAAAGACACGAGGTTCGAATCCACCGCTGCTCCACGGGAGAAGGACTCTACGGGTCGGTTCCGACTCCACGCTACATAACAACTGGCTACAAAGTCAAGCCATCCATGTTTGGGGAGCCATTGGGGGTCTGCATGGTGAGAGAGGAAAGCCCGAGAGAGACCCCTCAGGGTGGGGGCAGAGGCACCAGCTGGCCACCTCCTCCGGGAAGTCCCATCCGACTGCGGGCCCGAGAGGGCAGGGCCGCGGACATTGTTTCCTCCGCATCTCCGCGGCGTCAGGCCCGGCGCGGGGCACCCGTGGGCACTCGGTCAATATTTGCCGAGCGTGCAGGGATTGAATGAACCCATTGGGCGCCGCAGGGGGGGAGGGCGGGGCCGAGGCAGGTGGGAGGCTGGGGCTCGGGAGGGGCCCCTGGAAGCCCGCCCTCCTCCTCCTCCTCCTCCACCTCCTCCTCCTCCTCCTTCCAGGCCCGGGCGCGTACACTCGGGGGCTCCTCAGTGCCATCAGGGGCGCGCAGGGCCGGGAGAACGACCCGCGACCAGGCTCCTGGCACTGGAGCTCGGAAGCGGGTGGGCTGAAGCCGTCCGAGGGCAGAGCGCTACGAGCGGAACCGAGGAAGGACTAGGCGCGCCCGCCCGCCTCCTCCCAGCGCTCCTCTCGGGGCTCCGAAGTTCGCAGGCTGCTCCTCCCACCCGCGCCAGCCTCCTCGCTCGCTCCAGCAGGTCTCCTCGCCCGGTGCGCTAGAGCGAGTCCCGGGCGAGGGGCCCCACGGGCAGCCCGAGCCGGACCGGGGGTCCCGGCCGCGCGCAGCCGACCGGGAAGGGGCCATGTCTGGCGCGGGCGCAGCGAGGCCCGTCTGCAGCAAGTGACTGAGCGCCACCTGGGCGGCCGCCGTGCCCGGAGCCCGGTGCCCGGGCCGCGCGGAGAGCCTAGAGCCGGCGCGATGCACGTGCGCTCGCTGCGCGCCGCGGCGCCCCCCAACTTGGTGGCGCTTTGGGCGCCCCTGCTCCTGCTGCGCGCCGCCCTGGCCGACTACAGCCTGGACAACGAGGTGCACTCGAGCTTCATCCACCGGCGCCTCCGCAGCCAAGAGCGGCGGGAGATGCAGCGCGAGATCCTCTCCATCTTGGGCTTGCCGCACCGCCCGCGACCCCATCTCCAGGGCAAGCACAACTCGGCGCCCATGTTTATGCTGGACCTGTACAATGCCATGACCGTGGAGGAGGGCGGTGGGACCGACGGCCAGGGCTTCTCCTACCCCTACAAGGCCGTATTCAGCACCCAGGGCCCCCCTCTGGCCAGCCTGCAAGATAGCCACTTCCTCACCGACGCCGACATGGTCATGAGCTTCGTCAATCTCGGTGAGTGAGGGGCGCCTTGACACCGGGCGGGAGTCACTTCTTAGAGCGAGCCGCCGGCCTTTCCACTTGGCCTTTGCAAAGCCGGCGGTGATTGAGGGGCTCCCGCCTCCTGTCCTGGTGGACCCCGAGTACACCCACCCCGAGGTAGTGCGAGGCAGGCTCGGCCGGCCTGGGGGTGTTATTTGGAGCGAAAGACTCAGGCGCAGCCCCCTCGCGGCGAAGCCTCCGCCCGCACCTCCGCGCAGCAGGCGCCGGCTGGGGCTCGGCTCAGTTCAAAGCGCGGGACGGGGTCATGTGAGCGCCTGGCGACGCGGCTCCGCTACCTGGATTTAAAGGGCCCCTCTCGGTCGCGCTGCCTGCATTTCCTCCGGGTCCTCGGCCCCACGCGCCCAGCCTGCCCCGGCCTCACAGACAGCGCGCCGGTCCCAGCCCTGGCAAATCCTACCTGTCCCCTTGCCGTGCGCCCGCCTGGAAGTGCCGCGCGCCCCGGGCGCCCCGGGGCCTCTCCCCGCCGCCGGCGCCCGCTTCTCCCTCGGCCTCCCTGCCCGAGCCAGGGATGAAACGTTGCCATTGCGAACTTTCTATTTTAAATGTTTAATGATAGGTCCCGGGCCGGCAGAATCCGTTTTCAGCCTTCATCACGTGTGGTGCGCAAACCGCAGGTTTTGGCGATTGGGCGGCGCGGGATCGCGGAGCCGGGGGCGCCGGGGGTTGGGGTTGGGGGAGCCTGGCTGACTCCCGCCAGCCTGGGACTGCGGCGGAGCCCCGGCGCGTCCCTCCTTCGCGTCCGTGCACGTTCACCAAACTTGCTCAAACTCACCCCAGGCCGCGCGCTATTGGGCAGATGCTTACATATTTAGTTTCCAAGATAACACTCCCCACTAGCTTCGTTTCTTTCGTATCTTTCCCACTACCTGTGTAACTCACAGCTAAAAGCTGAGCAGAATCAAGACAGCAAACTTCTGCCCAGGGGCACTGTGTCTTCATGGACATTGTGACCCCAACTCCCCACACCATGCCACCTGGGGAGCGGTGTGTAGCGTCCCCGCTGCAGATCGGCCAGTGGAGTCTCCGGCACGCCACCGTCCACTTTAAAACAGAGCCAAACTCGGCGAAATAGGCGCGTCAGCGACCAAGGCTGGGGATGGGGGTCGGTTAGATGCCAGAATAACATCAAGAGACTTTACACCGGGCAGCTTGTTAGGACAGAGGCAGCTCTGTAAGTCTTGCCGTAGAACAATCTCCAAGATGTATGAGGTGGAAAAAGGCGAAGTCGGGATTGCGTGAGCCTGCAGGGATGTCATCCGGTCAGAAGAGAACTGGAGGGCGTTTGGGGGGGGGGGCAGGGCGCAGGGTGCAGAATGGAGGCTGGCACTTAGAGGTGGGGAGGAAGGTCGGATGTTTTCAATGCCTGCACTTTAATCTGCCCCTTTTCCTTGTAAAGTGTATCTGTTGCTGATAGGAACACCTGAAGAGCGCTTCTGAAATGATGAGGTACGCCCAAGTGGCACCGGAGCCCGGAAGCTGGGGTCAAAAAGCCTGCTCACGGGTGGGGATTTATGGCCGGGACTCCCAGCTAATGCTGCAGGTCCCCCTGGGGTCATTACAAAGGCATTTGGAAACCCTGGCTACCAAGACAGCTCTGTGAACCGCGCAAAAAGCATCTAATGCTTAGTGACTTAGTAGCTTTGGTCAGAATCGGGGGGGGCACGGGATGGGAGGAGCACTTGGCTCACTGAGTGCCTCCAGGGACTGGGGGCAGGGCGGCTTGCTCCCGTGGGTGGTGGGAGCAAGCCAGGGCTCGCCTGGGACCGCCTGTACACACACCTTTCAACCCTGGTAGGCCCTTTTCTTTCATCTTGAAAGGACAAAGACCTGCTTGTCTGAGTTTCAGTCAGCTGGGCCGGCTGTGGGCTCTGAGGGACAGCCCTGCTGAGAGGTCTAACTTTCTGGAACATGGCTCCAAATTAGATGGCTGAGCGGCTTTAAAGGGCACTTGAAGCCTGTTTCTCTCTCTGTCTCTCTCTTTTTTTCTCAGCTGTGGCTTGTTAGTGAGGTGAAGGCCAGGGCTGTTTGTTGGCATCTCTTCTTGTGGACACTTGTAAGGCTGCAGGTCTTTAATTTCTGCTTAATAAGAGCCCGAGAAGAAAACATTCATCCCAGCTGTTCTGTCTTGGAGGTGACGGTGGGATTGGAGAGGGCCTTGGGTGGGGGGTGCACGAGAGGAAGGGAATGAGTAAGGGGACATGAGTTGAGTCTGCTGAGAAACTCTGTAATTTCTTCTGCTATTGCAAACCATAATATGGAAAGTTTTCTGTCGTGTACCAAACCTCCAGAGTCGTTTCAGAGGTGGTAAAAAGCACTAGGAGCTTGCCCACCTTTCTCCTGCAAAGCAGCTGGTGGATTTGCACCTTTGAGTTACCACTAAGCCACCAGAGCTCCCTAAGTTTTCTATGGGTGCATTTAGTCTCACTTTTCCTGGGAGAAGTGATGTGTTTGTGTCATATAACCCGTTTCTTGGTCTCTTCTTGGGGAGCTTGGAGGGAGACCCTGAAGAGACGGGCTCCTTGCCTCCCAGAGATGCAGCCACCACCCTGCCTGCAGGCCTGGGCACCTCTGCTTTGTGCTAAAGGCTTCTGCAGATCTGTTCGATGATTACTTCCCCTGCTTACAGCCAAACTGATTTTTGTTTCTGTGGGTTCTTCTTGGACTGAGCTTTCTGCCAGGCCCAGTGGGAACCAGCAGTGGGGAATGCACGACAAAAACAGACATCAAGAGCAGGCAGGGGCCGGAGCCGGCACCTGTGAGGAAGGCCAGCCTGTGTCTTAAAAGCTCGCTTAGCAGCCTGAGAAGGGCTCCCACATCCAAGCTGGCCCCTTAAATTTAGTATCAGGATTTGTAAACTTGTTTGAATTGAAAAGCCCTGATCTCTGTGCACACTTCATTTTGGAATTAAAAACTGGCTACCTCCTTATTAAAACAGGCTACTCCTGGCAAGTGCCATTCTTCCCTGGGAGTCCAGCGAAGGCCCCCCACTACTCTTTCTTTGGAAAAACCCAAACCACTCAGCTTGGAATCCACTAGAAGCTTCTGGCAGGAGGGATGTGCCCTCAGTGTTTTCCTGTCTGGGTTTTTAAGGAATCAAACCTGTTTAATCTTTGAAGTAAAATGAACCAAAGAGAAGAAAGAAAGAGCGTTGGAGATTTGAGCTTATTGGAGGCAGGGGATAAAAGTGGCTTTTGTTTCTGTAAACTGATGGTGGGGAGAAGGAGGCCCGCCATTTGAGTTTTCCTTTGTACCATCTGGCTGTCCTTTTTTGTTGACAAGTGTTTGGCATTAAGATTGCTTCTTTTGCCCCTTGAAAACAGGCCGTACCACTGTAGAGTATTAGTAGAAGATTCTGTTACAGTTTAAAAATTTCCTTCAGGGAGTGCTTCAGCGAAGGCAGCACGGCTGCAGGCATCCCAGCTGTAACCTGGCTTGTGTTAAAATTTGGAAGGGCCGCCCCGCATTCCAGCGCGCAGCGCCGGCCCTCGCTGGTGAGCAGCCAGAGGTTAATATAGATGTCACCGACCCTCCCTCCTTCTCTTTCTCTTCCCCTCCGCAGCCCGTCCCTACAGGAGTGCCCCCACAGCTGTGTTTTCAGTAACTCTTTCCGCATCACATCTTTTAAACCTCAGTTTCCTGCTTGTATAAATCAAAGATATCTCCCCCTTTCCCCCCAAGGATGGGTGACCCAGATTTGAACTTTTTTGCTCTTCCATGGATTTCCCTCTGGACTAAAAGCAGGTTGGGGCTCAGCCTCCAACGCCAGCTTGGGTAACTCTGGGGTTTCTGTTCCAGAGGTTTGAGGGCAGAGTGGGTGCTGTTGGAGGGGTGGAGGGAGGTGACCCTTAGCTCGGCAGTAAAGGGAGGACTGAGTGGCCGATCCCTGGAGGGGGGAAGCGGAATCCTGTTGGTTCCCTCCACAAGCGAGCGCTGGCGCGCGCAGTAGGTCAGCAAGGTTGTGCGCCTCGGTGCGCGTGCAGCTGGTGCACCATCCCTTCACCAGAATGCCTGCAGTATGAGCGCATATCACGTGTCCTGACTGCGCAGGCAAGTGGTGACTTCATTTCAGGGAGAGTCCCATCTAAGTTGATTGATCACCCCACTTTAATATCTTCTTTTTCCCCCTCATTGGAGTAAGATCATATTTGGCCCATTGCGAGAATCACTGTGTCCTAATGCTCCCGCTGCCGCCCTTCTCCCAGGCGTACCCACCCATCTCACCAGCAGGAGGTGCCGCTTGGACAGCCCTTTGCAGCGATGAACTGCCGGCCACGTTCATGTTTCCCGCACTCCCCCTTCAGACCTAGGTGGAGGCTGTCCACACGCTCATTTCTGGCAGCGCTTGTGCGCACTGGTGGTGTCTCTGCGCGAGAGTGCTGGTGGCTGGGCCTTATGGAGCTGTCCCGCTGTCAGGAGGAAGGCGAGGGTTTGCCTTTGAAGAGGGGTGCTGGGAGAGCTCGCAGCTGTGTACACGTCTTCCAGAAGATTGAGTCCCACTGGCAAAATCAATAGATTGAGTTGCACGACTTTCTGCTTTTAATTAGTTTAAATCGAATTTGCTGGTGCCATTTCGTCTCCCAGCCCCATCATGGGGTGAGGAAATCCCAATATTTACATAGAAAATGTTAATTTGTGTTGAAAATGATAACACATTTATCCTCACACAGTTGAGTCCAAACTTGATGGATCCCAGCTTTATGAGGCATTGAGGGGGTGACCTGGGGGGGGGGCAACACAGTGACATTGGTGGTGATAGCTGGCAGGAACTCTCACAGCCAGGCCCAGGTGGCTCAGCGCTCTAAGATGTTCTTTTGAGAACTCGGTAAACCTTTTTCTTCTCCCTAGTTAGAAATCATGATTAATCGTGTTACTAAAAGTCCTTGCTCAGTGTGAACATTCCTGAAATATTGGGGAGCAGTGGTTTGCCTTTAGATGGCCTGAGTCCTGTGTTC